TATGAGCCTCCCTTTTGAATGATTCCTCAAATCTGCATTTTGCTGCTCTGTTCACTGGGGCTGCCTCTCCTAGGCTGGCTGCCGGGGGTATTTCTGTGGGTGAGGTGCTTTTGTCAGCACACCTGGCAGAGCACCTTAGCAGCAAATATGCACCTCCCACATCTTTTCCTGTCAAGCAACAGAATTAGCATTTTTTCCAAAGTTAATCAAAAATACACCCACACAACTGCCCGTGGACCCTTGCTGACTGCTCCCCTAGCTTTTCACAGTAGCCACGAGCAAGAGCAGATTTCTGTGCAGTGTTGGTGTAGTTTCTCTTCCTTTCCCCACATCTGGCTGAACCACTTGCATCCTCCTTACAAGAAACATGCCACTTCTATCTTATCCTCTTGGACAGTAAAGAGCAATTCCCCTGGGCAAAAACATCCAGTATGCTCAAAATTTGCAATTTGGGGTAATCTAAATAGTCTGAGAAATAAGCTGCATTTATTTAGACTCCTACAGGGAGTTAGGTACTGAACAGAGAGGCATCCGCATTTGAAAGTGGGCTTTAGGGCATGTGAAGACCCCTCTTACATCTGAGAGGAGCGACAAACCCCACTCCACTGCCAGAGGGTGCTTAGGTTATGGCAGAGATGGAAGCAGACAGAGAGGATCCCGGTGGCAGCTTTAACAGAGGCAAGCTGAAACAGGCGACATCCCTGCCATGGCTGGGCAAGTCCATTGCTACTGGTATGGGATAGTAAGTAATTGCAGTAAAATAACTGTCATAAATTGTGGCAGAACACACCACACTGCACCCACTCCTTCTGCCCTAGTGGAGCTGGGAGCTGGTGGGGCTGGGGTGAAGACGGAAGCATCGCAGCACGGGGAGTGGCTGGGCTGGTGGAGACCCAGAGGCTGATTCACCCCGGGCTGCATCTGCTGGCTCCACAAAGACTTCCTGGATCACTGCGTGGAAAAGCACCTGCACACACCCCAGTGCTGAGACCTGCCTAAATCTTCTCCTGCCTGCTGGGCGAGGCCTCCTAGGACGCCCAGAGAAGGTGCTACAAGTCAGGAGAGACCCTCTTCCTCCTCCTGTGCACTATGCATTAGATCCATGACTCCCTCAAAGCTAAAAGGAAGGTCAGGCTGCAATGGATACATTCTCATAAGAAATTTCCCAATCTTTACTTGCTCTGGCAGAGAGAAAATTTCAGTGCAATAAAGTTCTCTCTTTTGTAAAAGGCCAAGTTTTGCAGTCCTCACTCAGAAAATCCTGCTGGGTTTACTGACACCCTTTCACTCCAGGTACAGCATTAAGAAGAATTTGAAGATCATTAAGAAATGAGAATTAATTACTTGTAAACTTTTGTGTGATCTCAACTATGAACAGTCCTATCTCATTTCCATTCAAATCTCTTGCAATTTGTAATTTGCTGTGAGATACAGACCAGGAGTTTTGTTCATACAGTCCATGTTACTCTTTATATAGAAGGATTGATCTGCAATTGCAAGTTGATTATTTCCTACTTTGTTCTTTGTACTTTGCACACACAGGAACATTTCCCAGTCTTTGAACTAACAAAGCAATTAAGTATGTTTGCCTATAAGCATGTGCCTAAACTCTTCCCTATCTAATGAAATACTGGCATGTGGTTAAATCCTGGGGGACACTTCCTTTTTGCTAAGCTGCTGTAGTAAACAGGGGCAGAGCCCAGTGCTCGTCTACATGCCTTGGATTTAGATTTAGGATGAATCTCAGCTTCCCCCTTTCTTTTGTAACACATACAAAACCCTTCTCCATACCATGGGAAAGGCAGTCCTTTCTGTCCTAGGCACTCTCAAAACCAGAGGCAACTCACACATACAGAAACGATCCTGCCAATGTCCTCTTTGAAGGATCATAGAATCATAGAATCATAGAATGCTTTGGGTTGGAAGGGACCTTTAGAGGTCACCTAGCCCAACCCCCCTGCAGTGAGCAGGGACAGCTTTAACTCGACCAGGTTGCTCAGAGCCCCGTCCAACCTGACCTTGAATGTTGCCAGGGATGGGGCCTCTACCACCTCTCTGGGCAACCTGTGCCAGTGCTTGACCACCCTCATTGTAAAAAATTTCTTCCTTATGTCTAGTCTAAATCTATTCTTCTTTAGTTTAAATCCATTATTCTTTGTCCTGTCACAACAGGCCTTGTTAAAAAGATTCTCCCCATCTTTCCTGTAGGCCCCCTTTAAGTACTGGAAGGTCGCAATAAGGTCTCCTCACAGCCTTCTCTTCTCTAGGCTGAACAATCCCAACTCTCTCAGCCTGGCCTCACAGGAGAGGTGCTCCAGCCCTCGGATCATTTTGGTGGCCCTCTTCTGGACCCGCTCCAACAGGTCCATGTCCTTCTTGTGGTGAGGGCTCCAGAGCTGGACGCAGTACTCCAGATGAGGTCTTACCAGAAGAGAGTAGAGAGGCAGAATCACCTCCCTCGACCTGCTGGCCATGCTTCTTTTGATGCAGCCCAAGATACGGTTCGCTTTCTGGGATCCCACAGTACACCAGAATCAAGCTCTTAGTTCACATCATCCAATGGATCCTGTGTAATTAAGATTTTGGCTGCTAATGAAAGGGAGAAGAACATCATTCATGGGCTGGAAACACTGATCAGCATGGCAGGGAACAGGATACTGTAACTAGAGTCTTCCTTAAATATAGCTCCTTAGGCAGCTGTAATTCCCATGACCATCCATTCATTTCCTCCCTACAGTTGAGATAAACTGTGTACTGCCACTTGCAAGGTTGATTATGGAGCAGACAGACATGAAGTTGCATGCATCATCACCATAAGATCATGTAAGGGCAAAGCATACTGTCCTAGGCATCCATAAAGTTCTGTTTTTTCTGCAAGCCCACACTGCTGTTTCTACATAGTAGATAAGGGGTGAGGCATAAAAAGACACTGTGTTTGTGTGCTATAGCTGGTGCACCAAACCAGGTGTTCTCAAGCACATTTGTGGTGCCTTTCCCACCTTGCAGTTTTGAGAAAATAGAAGTAAACATGAGCAGGGACCAGAAACCTCTTAGCCCACGCAGCTGATGACTGCCTAGCTCTAGCTGCCCTTCCTCTGGGTAGCTGTTGCTCACTTTTGATAGGGAATACAACAGCCTTTGAAGTGCTGGGAGAGGATCTGGGGACTCACAGCATCTTTAGGAGGCAAGCACTACTACCTGCTCCCTGATGGAGGGCTCCTCATCATCTTAGGTTTGCCCCCGGTGAGCAACTACACAACACGTCAGCACCTGAACTGCTGATCTCACTTGGGGTTAGGCACTTTGGGGGACACATCCCATGGTCCTTAGTGCTTCAGTGAACTGAGCTACCTTATGAACTTTCTTGTAGGCACTGTGTATTTTCAAGCACTGCAGGGGAGAAGGAAATATCAGAGGGTATATGCCCTTCAGTGAAACTAGCTTATGTATGCATTACACAGATGGTGCATTAATGGCTAAGGAATTGTGCTATTTGTCATCCTCATACAAGCAGCCACCTTTAATTAAAAGCACAGTCACATTCAGGTGAAGCATCCATATCTGGACCCTGTATCTGGACAAGGTTTGGATGACTCAGGTTAACACTGCAGTAAAGATAAGCAGTAAATATACTTCATTAATATGATCTCTTTCAACACCCAGCTGAGGTCAGAATACAGTCCACGAGCTTTCAGTCTGGTCTTTGGCAAGAAATGTAATAACATATTCTTCAGCTTTTGCCGAATTGATTAATATGAATACACACCTACGTGAGCAAGCCTGCCTGGTATGAATCACTCAAAACTTGGATGGAAGAAAGCAAAACACCTCAACACAAATGATCTTTCTTCCGCTAGGGCTGAAAGTCTCACGGTTTTCTCTCCCTTAAATGCATCTGACTGCAGTGAGCCTTATTTTCCAATGTACTGAAAGCGTCCACAGCTCCTACTGAAGTCAAGGTGGGCTGTGAAGGCTTGAAAACTATGTCCCACCTGCAGTGCCCAGAATTCATGTTCCACCTGCCCAACCAGGACAATAGCATTATTGCTCCTTCCCAGCTTCCTTGTAAGGAGCATGCTGAATTCCCAGCTCATGTTTCTCTTCCCTGTGAGCAACTATTTAACATTATATTGCTGTTTCTACAGGCATTCCAGTCCCTGCAGGGAAACAGAGCCCCATAAGATCCTATACGGAAGCACTACGATGACATGTAGTGGCATCACTTCTGAACAATGCTGGTTGACAAAACCACATACTAGGACTCTTCACTATATACAGGAAGTTTTCAAAGCGGCACATAGGATCAACTGTGTCTTTTTTTCAGTTAGAATTGCAGTGGTATGACTAACTTTCCCATACTCCTTGGAGATCATCAGCCTATGAATTCAGCCAACATTGCCAGGCACCAGGCTTCAGCAAGGACCCAGCCATCTGGAGAACTTCTACCAGTAAGAATGTGAGGGCCAGAGGACCAGCCAGCTTCCCTGTTGTGTATGAAGCAGAAAGCGATGCAGCAACGGAAAAGGGAGTAGACAAACTTGCCCTACCAAAAGGAGTTGCCAGTGAGTCTTTGCATGAAGGTTGGCTAAGAAGACAAGCACAGTCAACAGTGAGCGGGATCTGTAAACAAAACATTCCCTAGTGGTATTCAACACAGAGTGCTGGGCACAGTTCATCTGCCCATACTGATCTGTGCTTGCCATGTAGCGTAAAGAGTGAAGAAGCAGCACAGAACACATCCAGAATACATATGTTAACTTCCATCTGGGTCTTTTAGTGATGTGCACCTTGAGCCATTCCCTCATCCTCCTCCTTCTGTCTGCTGCTCAGCAAGTGTAACCATTCCTCAGGGCAGCAACGCTCAGCATGGAGTTCAAAGTCCTTCCTGTTAAATGGGAAGAGTAAGATTGATGTGGGCTGAACTGCCCAGGGGACAGATTGTACCTGGGGATCAAGGGTCACAAAACTGTGTCAATCTTCCACTCCCTCTCCACTCGCCGCTAAAAATAGTCTCTTCTTCTGGTTTCGTCACTAATGAAGGATGGATTGTATTGTCCAGGGTAGATGCATGAATGTCGAGATCCAGGCAAACCAGTGTAGGGAGGATAAAGTCCGTTTCTTTCCAGTTCAGGATTTCTCAGTCCAGTTGGCTGTATTAGCAAAAAAATTAAATAAAAAGGGTCTTATTCGCACACTCAAATCCTCCTTCAGGCACAGACTTACCACCCTTCCCAGCAGTTATTTCGGTAGCTAGAAGGAATAACGTGATCGCTAATGATCTCTATAACCTAGAATGATTCTTACTATGGGAATTATTGCCTGAAGGGAATATTCTGATGCAATCTAGTTTTGACATCTTGCCAATTAGCAGACTTGAAGTTTACCTGACTCCATCAAGTGCAGTCTAAGCACACAGTTAATTTTTAATCCAGGAGAATTGTGCTGATGAGCTCAGGCATTGAAACAACTCTCATGAAAAGGATGTTGTCCCAGAGCCATCCTTAAAGGAAATGCTTTTAGAAAAATCAAAGTTAGTCTCCTCCTTTGAGTATTACCTGGGAGCACTTCTCTCCCCATTAACCATAGGTACCTACTCTCCCAACACAGGCACTTGAATTATATGTCAAATGCAAAGTGATCTCACCTTCCTTTCGCTTCCCTTCTCTTACCTAAGAAAAATGCCTGGGGACACTTGGTTGAGTAAGTTTAATGTCTAAGACCAAGACCATACAATCCTTTCACCCACTTCCTCCCTACCACTTGTTCCCCCAGAGCTGGAGGGATGCTCCTTATGCACCCTTCCTGCTGCAGGAAGGGTCCTGTACCCTGGAGAGCATGAGGAGTGGAAGAACAGAGGGGTCCTCAGTGACCACCGTCTTCCCATCTTGGGGTGAAGTTCCCCAGGCAGAGGTCTCAACTTTCCAGCATCATCAGTGAGGGTGGAAGGGAGAAAACTACCCACAGGAACTCCCAGCAGCCTGTCCAAAATCTTTAACTCTCCTTGTCTACTCTAGGATTGGGCTTTTTAGGCATCTACCAAAATGACATTTTGGCAGACACTCTAGCACTCTTCCTAATGACATCTCTTTGTGATATTCACCACGTGTAAAAGCTGGAGTCCACAGGACTACCAATGCCTTGCTGTCTACGGAAGCCAATTATTTGCTTTTTTATTTTGCAGGAAAGGGATCTCTCCTTCCAAACATAAGGGAACGTGTCTTTGCTGTATCAGGCACAAGGGGTTAATAGCTAAGCTATGGATAGATACCGAATAATACACATCTGTCATCTGCAACAGGTTCTTGGTGCTTCCGTTCTCTTGCATCTCGATGGTCTCTCTGCCCCACTCCTGTGTCCGGGGGTTCTTCGGATATTCAGCATATGGTGACATCTGGAAATCTCCACTCTTGAAAATGAGTTTGCTTATGTCATTTTTATTCTTCCTGTTTATAAAAGAATGAAGGGAGGTGAAAACATACAATTTATCCTGCTATCTTGTATGCATTTCTGACGTGATCTCAGGAGATTTACTTCATGCTATGAACCTTGACTAGAAACAAATATCACCTCAGAAGGGCTATAGTCCAATCTTCTGCTCTGACGCAAAAACAGGTACAAGGTCAGATTAAGCTGCTCAGGATATTATGTCATTTTTATTCTTCCTGTTTATAAAAGAATGAAGGGAGGTGAAAACATACAATTTATCCTGCTATCTTGTATGCATTTCTGACGTGATCTCAGGAGATTTACTTCATGCTATGAACCTTGACTAGAAACAAATATCACCTCAGAAGGGCTATAGTCCAATCTTCTGCTCTGACGCAAAAACAGGTACAAGGTCAGATTAAGCTGCTCAGGATATTACCTAGAGGTATTTGAAATCTCCAGGGAAGGAGATGGTGTAACCGCTCTGAGCAACCTGTTCCACTGCCTTAGCATCCTCTTGGTGAAAGAGTTTTTCCC